CAACAACAACAACAACAACAACAACAACAACAACAACAACAACAACAACAACAGCAACAACAACAACAGCAACAGCATCAACAACAATAGCAACAATGACTGCTTAAAAAAGGACAACAACAACAACTTTACTAGCTGCATATGGCGCTCATATGACCTTATGCAGTTGCGAGCGCCGTAAAACCTCTACCAAAACGAAAAAAAACCCAACCCAAACGCACGAAATAAATGTTCTTGCCCCTGCAGGTACGACATCGACGACCTGACCCGCTTTACGCTGACGGTGAGGAAGAACTACAGGAACGTTCCCTATCACAACTGGGCCCATGCCTTCTCCGTGGCCCACTCCATGTTCACCGTCATACAGACGGCCAAGCACAAGCTCAAGCCTGTCGAGGTGAATATCTTATTAGGTCTAGGCTTTTTGTTTTGTTTTGTTTTTGGTTGTTTTGTTTTTTTAATAGAAAATATGGCATAAAGTCAATAATATACTAACTAAAAATCAATAAGATAATAATTATGTTCCATTCATTCACAACAGGAATTGAAAAATTGCGCAAAACTTTAAACCGCCGTATCTCGAAACTATATTTTTGTCGGTTACGATAGTAAGTGAGTCAGGCGACAACTTATGGACCTGTCCGGTGTGCAATGACGTTGTTGCCCAGGACAAGTGACAAGTGACAGGTAAACTTAGTGGGTGGTTGGCGGGTGCTCTGGTGTGGTTTTCTTCTTCTTTCCTATCAAACATCTACCGTCCTTATCTCCCCTCCTTCTTTTTTATGTTTGTTACTTTCTTGTAACACCTCTAATCATCTGACGCTCATATGACCTTATGCAGTTGCGAGCGCCGTAAAATCTCTACTAAAACAAACAAGGTAAACTTATTGTTTGCTTTGTTGCATAAAGCTAAAAAACACCCTCCCCCACCCCCAATCCCCCTTCGGCACTTCTCCATCCCAGAGCGTGTCCCTGTTTGTAGCGTGTCTGTGCCATGATCTCGACCATCGAGGGAAGACCAACGCCTTCATGGTACAGAGCGCTTCCCCTCTGGCAGCCATCTACACCACCAGCACCATGGAGCACCATCACTTCAACCAGACTGTCACCATTCTACAGGTAACGCGTTCTCTCTTACTCTCTCTCTCTCTCTCTCTCTCTCTCTCTCTCTCTCTCTCTCTCGCATGTTCCCATTTCCTCCTATTTCAAAAGTAACGGATCATCGGGTGTTTTTTTTTAGTTCACACCAACTCCCAAGTTTGCCCTGACCTCACCTTGTCGTGATGTAGACACCTTTGGGTTGTCCCTGCGCAGTAGCCTGCTGATGTTAATGTGAACGGGGGCGGGTAATTTGAAGTGGGCGAGTAGGGGCGGGGGAGAAGGG